CTTAATGTATTAGTAAAGTGTTATTTTAAAATAACACCCCTCACCTCCTCTCCCTCTCCAGCCCCAAACAGACCCAGGATCGGCTGAGACAGGAACTTCACTTTCAGAAGTCACTGGCCAAGTTCGCTGTCTAGAAGTTTTCAGCCTACCTCCTGCTCTGCCCCCCTTAAAATTCATTAACAAGCTCCAACCCTCCTGAGGTTTTAATATTCTGGGTACAGCACAGCCAGGGCAGTGCCACGTTCTCTGTGGAGAATCCCAGGCCTACCTAGGAACCCACCTGTGACCCAGCAGGCCAGCAAGCATGGTGTGTGTGATTGGAGCCCTTTGGGCCCAGGGCCCTCCTGCCCTGCCACATGTCCCTCTCTTCTCTGGGCCTCATCCTTTGCCCCACGCCCAGGGACAGTGTCTTTGAACCTAGGCTGACTCATCTTTAGGCTGGGCACTCAAGGCAGGAGGGGAGTGGGAAGCCCTGGCCACCTCCATAAGTCTCAGAGAGCCCACCCTGACTGTCCAATCATGGAGTGTGGGGATGGGGTGAGGTGGGCTACAGTCTGGGAATGAAGAGGGAGGGGAGCAGAGCTGCCTGCAAGTGTTCACCCATCTTTCCTGCCTTTCTTGAAATGAGATGTAAATATATTCATTACAGTGTCATCCCTCTGATGAAAACAGAAAAACATTTTTCTAAGTCTGAAACGTATTTTTCAATTAATTTCAATACGGAGGTCCAAGCACAAGGTGCCCAGTGTGGAAACTGGCCCAGAAGCAGAGGCCCAAGATGTTCAAGACTCTTGCTTCAGGATGCAGAGGTGACAGTGGCAACTTGGCTCTTGCCCAAGAGGGCCAGAAGCATTGCCTGTGGCCTGGGGAACACAGGTAACCCTTCTAAGCCTGGGCCCAAGCCTGGGGTAATCAACACAGCCGTAGGAAAAAGAGTAGGCCTTGCTATAGCGTCACAGGCTAGGTCTAGAAACCAGGAAGCTCTGGGGCTGAACAGAAGGGAGGAGCAAGAGGTGGCTCTGCTCTGTGCTGGGAAGGACCGGGCGGCAGACAATGGGTTTCTCCTCTGTCATCTCCTTGGTGGCTGCGGTAGTCCCCGCCTACATTACACACAGTGAGACAGCCAACTTCTGAGGTCTCTGTGTGTCTCAACCAGACAGACAGGACTTCTCAGGGCCTCGGGGACCCTGTGGTCGCCCGGCTCTCTACTCTCTACTCTCAGGGCACTCAGCTGGGGACCATGCATCTATTCTCAGGCGAGGTTTAGTTAGCAGCGGAGACCACAGCACCCAAACCAGGCACCAAGCCTTCACACAACCTGGAAGTGTCATCTCTGTTGCCAGCGATCTAAACGCTCCCTGGCTGGGCTGACCAGTGACCGCAGCCTAAAGGCTAAGGGCAGAGTGGCCCGGGCTCTCCTCACAGAGCAGAAGGCAACGCCAGTAGTGGGCGGGCTGCCCCAGCCCCGTATCCTGTCGTCTTCAGAACCTGGGAGCTACTGGGCAGAAGGTGACATGAAGCAGGTGGGAATTTCTTCTGCCTGGGTGGCCACCGGAAGGCCCCTGAGCAGTGAATCTGCCTTCGAGCCAAGCGCCAGAGGGAGCCGTGGAACCCCGGTAAAAAGCCTCAGGCAGTCGTAGGCTCTACCGTTGTCTGGGCGGTAGCCCTGCCTTGGCCTGCCTGGCCATCGCAGTCCGAAGGAGTAAAGAGAGTGGGAGAGTAGGGCTGGGCTAACTGGGTGAGCAGAACAGACGTGTTCCCCACAGCCAGAGGAAATGTGTCTTAGCAGCTGGAAGGAGGCCCACACAAGGTGACTTCTCTCTCAAAATTACTTGTGACAGGGAAGTCGAACGTTCCCTTTTCTAACCCAACACTTACTGGGCGACTGAGAACTTCGGGGGCTTTGAAGTAGGTTTTAACTATTTTAGCCACAGCTTTGCTGAAAACATCAAAAAGGCCATCCCGCGCCGTGCTCTCTCCTCCAGGAATCTCTAGGGAATGAGACTGAGCCTCATCCACCACTGAGGGACAAGCAGTGTCAAGGGAATTACAATGTGACCTTTGCCCCTACCCACCCACATCCCCACCTGAGATCAGGCCTGGGGAAAGCCAGGGATGGGCGTCGATCCGGCCACCAGAACCACCTTGGACTTTGGGGCTGTATGCCTCGCGTTAGTTCAGGCTCGCGGTTCACTGGCAGCCGCAAAGGGTCTTGGTCCGCTCCCAGAGGCCTCCACCACCCAGTTTTGCTCTCACGGGCAGTAACCACCTGGAGCCCCTTGATTCGAGCCCACCTGAGCTCGTCTGCTTGGAGTGTGCAAAGTTTATTTTTAAAAATTCCTTCTTCTCCCCCGCCACTCACAGTCAGCCCTTACATTTCCTACAGCGGCAGATCACCTCCCATCAGGCCCTCGATTCCTCAGAACAAATCACCTGAATGTCTCTGCAAATGGGAAAACATGAAGGAGCGTGAGGAGGGTGTGCAGGGAGACACAGGCGGGAAATAATAAAACTCTTGTTAGAGGGCCTGCTCTGGATCCGTGGCGGCACTGGGCCTTTTACTTGGAAAGCCAAAGAGTTGTATTCCTAAATGAGTTAAAGACCCATTTACCTCTGTCGTGTTCTATTCATCAAGCCACAAGTTGAGAGTTCCTAACATGAAACTATTTGTTTGCTTACACAACCAGCTGGGCGCAATTTCACGTCTGAGATATCTATCTGAAAGCGCCTCTCATTTATTATCTCTCCATGTCAGCGAATCCATTTTCCAGCTCTCCCTCCCCACTCCTCCTTCGTAGTTTATTTATTTATTTATGGTGGGACATCTTTGCCTGGGCTTGAAATGCTCCCTGGGGAGCGGCAGTTCCCTGAGCGGTGTCTGCCGCGCCTAGGGCGCGTGGCCCAGGGAGCCGTAGAGGTACGCTCGCCACCCCCCGCTGACCCTAGCTGGCTGAGCGGCCAGGGTGCGGGGCGGGCAGTGGGTGGGCCTGGCCGGACCCTGCGGAATTGCCTTTCTCCCTGGATGTCCTCCCTGATAGCACTCCCAGAGTAAGACGCAACCACCTGTGCGAGGAGGGGTTAGCGGGAAGCCCGGCCGGGGAGTCCAGGAGCCCCTCTCTGAGATGAGGGCCCAAGATACGGATTTGAGAGATGCTTTCACAAAGCCTCACCTAGTCCCATGGGGCTAATTTCTTCTCCCGGGCCGGAGCGCGGAGTGAGTAACCAAGATGTAAATAGTTGTGTGGTGGGTTGGGGGAGGGGGCAGCGCAATTATTGTGTGTGTGGAGGGGAGAAGGCTGCACGTGGTTTCAATTTTGAGGCACAAAGAAATAACATGCAATGCAGAAAATAGGTTTATGAATGTAATTGAGAGGAAAGAAAACAATTAACACGGTGCAAGGTTGCACACTCGATTCTCCACCCCTCGCCTTCTCTTCTACCCCAATTTTGAGAATTCTGAATCATGTGGATAGAATGGGTCTAGGCAGTTGGATCAGGTTGAGGAGGGAATCCCTGATGGAGCTCACAGTGATGGGTGGATAATGGTGTCTATCCTCTCCTAGTCTGCTGGGGCCTTTTCCAATAGAGCTGAAAGCAAGGGATCAGATCCCCAAGACCAGTGTATAAAATACCCCTAGTTGTAAAGATGGAAAGGAGAGGGGTGTCTGTATGGGAGGGGAAAGGGAGAAAGAGTGAGCGAGCGAGGCATTTCTTTAAGACAGACCAGGCTGGTCTCTGCAAGCTACCCTATTGTGTTGATTTAGTAAGACATTTGCTGTATATAACGTTTAAGGCTGATAATATCATTGCGCAGCCAGATAAATAAAGCGTTGGCCCAACCGTGAGGTCAGCGATCGATCTCTGGGCTCAGAGGAAAAAGGAGAGAGACAGGGTCGTGCAGGAGGCTCTGTCTGCGTGCTTGTCAGTCCACACGCAGGAGCCCGAGTGTGTGTGAGCGTCAGGGTGTGAGAGAGAACCAAGTCTTCAGCTGGCCAAGAGGCTCATTAGCATTCCTAACCCATGGACCTGCGCTGACAACTAACAGAGATATCCCGCTCACCACCAGGCCTCCTCTCCTTTTGTCTTCAGATCCGGAGGAGAAAAAGATTTCTCAGTGAAAGCTGGAGTCTGAACTTCCATGTGGTTGATGGAGAATCAGGGTATAAAAAAAGAGGTTCCAGGATCTTGCCTGATCTTTTACTCTGCTTTTAAAAACTTCCCTCCTAAGTAGGAACTTTTCTGCTTTTCTCTCTCAAATTGTAATATGCTTGTTGAAACTCCAAGCTTAAATGAGAGAGAAAATACTCTAAAAATATTTTGCCATTTCTTCTTGTTGACATGCAGAGAGGTAGATGTTTATATGTTTGGCTCACATACACATGTAAAGCTGGTACTTTTACTTTAAGATTCCTAGAACATAGCAACAAGGGTTGTTTGAGCTTTTTGTTTCTCTTTCCTCTGCTTGATTTTATGATGATGAAATTCATTTTATTATCTAGAATAAATATCGTGCTTATTACTTTGTCACTCTCTGTAGTTTAAATAAAGTATACCTTTCAAAATTAAATAGGATCAAATTATGTGTTAAAACTATCAGAAACAAACAATTTTAGAGGCCTCCACTATTCTGAGAAACATGCAGTTTTAATCAACTTACACCTATTTTGGGAAAAGTGTCTTTTAACCATATCTCACAGGAATAAACATGTATCCACTTTGCTTTCTTAGATTCTATGTCTTGAACTCCATCAAACAAGGCAGATAGTTTTACACTGAAGTGTGCAAATTATCCGTGTTGACAGATGTTTGTCACTTAGTAACTTCTTTCCAAGTTTCCCCCCTCCCCTAAGCTTTCTTTCTAGCTTGCTTTGTTGTTTTAAAATATGCATGTCTCTCACTGGAATGCCAGTCACGAGTGCAAACTTTGTGTCCAACCTCCCACATGAAATGATCCTTTTAGAGGGAACTGGATATGTCTCAATCTGCACTTCACTCAAAGCCTCTGGGTATGGGCCACTCACTCACTGGTCCTGGCTCCCAAATAACTCAGCAGAAACAAGTTTCCAACTAAAAATCCCCTTGAATGTCTCCCAGGGAAGAAATATAGCTTCTGTAATTAAAGGAGGCAACGGCCAGAGGGGGAATGCAGCCGGCAGCCAAAAAAAAGTAAGAGTTTTATTTATTTGCTGAATGAAGTTAAGTTGTCATGACCAGCAGGTTTATCCACACTGGAGATGCTGGAGGTTTGTACTGTTGGTGCCCAGGAGGGAGAAATGGGGAGGAAAGGAAGGGAAGGGGAGGATGACATGGAGCAAGGAGCATGAAAGAGAGGAGGACAACTTTGGGGAAGAGAAAATGATCTCTGTGTAACAATGTAGGGAAATTTCCTAGCCCTGGATTTTTGTAAAAACTTGTAGCTGAGGAATATGGGGGTGGGTGTAAGGGAAGGACTCAGAGGAGATGAGGAGGTAATTATATTAAACTCTTAAATGTGGGGTATCATCAAGAACAGGAGGAAACTAACTGATTTCCCTAGAAAAGTAATGTGACAGCAGGAAAATTATTAGCTGTGCTGTCTGGGGTGATGTTGGTATACGGGGGGGGGGGGGGGGGGG